TTCTAAAAACAAACCTCGAAACAAACTATAGATAATAAATTTATTTTCTCCTCGATTTTCCCCAAATTCCATTAAAAATATTTTTTAAAAAAAGTGAGGTTAAGAATTAGCAGTTGCGAAGTTGGTAGTAATGAAATACACGATCAAACCACAGCTTAAAATACATCAAAATTAGAGCAAGTTCTGTTTCGACGTTTCGTGGATTGATACACTTGGACAAACTGGGTTTCCATAAAGGTTCTTCGGAATTCAGGACCAAGGAGCCGAAAAATTATTTAAATTTTTTATAAAGGATGAAATTATGTCTTTTTTGTCTTTATGAGCAACACTCAAATCAAAATTGTAATGCATACGATACAAGACATCGGAATTGGCATTTCCTTTTTTAATGGAAGGGAACGCTTTTCTTCCGTTTTGGCATCATTAAAATATACTCAATTTTTTCATTAATATTTATTATTATAATAATAACATTGTGTTGCGCGCAACATAGCGTAAGGCCCACACTAATCATAGTTTAAACGGACTTTGGAATCCTGGGATTCACCGATACCGCTAGTACTTATCGCGCGAATTCCTGATTGAAATCAATCATGAGTCAATATATTTCCATCTCACTCTATGTCATAATCAGTATAGCAAAGAAAGACGATTCCTCGAACTCTAACGAAAATTTGACGTCGGAGTGACACCCGAGTATAGAAATGGGGTACGTTCGAAAATGCTTCTGTCGGTATTGGTATTAACAAAGTTAGGTTGTTTCCACGATCTTCGAGTTTTCCGGACATTGTTTCAACCCAAACATGTCTGGGTGAATCCAGACGTATGGAAACCCTGGACAAACATAAAACTGGTACAGGTAATATATAGGTATTTTTTAAATTTGCCTAGTGTGAGTCAAGCCTAACAACAAAAAGTCTTCTGAAAAACTTAGGTCAGACAGTTTTTGTCAACGTCAAAGCTGAACAAAAGTAAATGCAACATGTTTTTATGTTATGATTTTATGATTGGTTTAAATATGACACTGACTTGACTCTTTTTGTCATTGTTGAGGTGATAAAAAAGGTCGATTCACACAATACAACACAATAGGAAAATGAGGACCAGTTTTATGATTGGCCATGTGTACATGTATTTATTTAAGGTCAAATACACGGCTAATATTTCTGTTCGAAATTTATGTATTTCTTTCCGTAGTAACTACATGTAGAAATACACGAAAAAATACACGAATATGTAAGACGGGCTCTATTGTATATTATAAATACTTACAGTCGTACATTTTTCGCTATTTTGGGTAAATCAGTATTTTCTGTACAACGGATTTTTTGTCAAATATGACAATCCCTGTCATTGTCGACAGTGTAGCTGGTGAGCTCGTTTTACAATAGGAAAATCGGGTGTCCCATTTTTTGTGCTCACCACTGTACGTTTTCACAAAACTTTCTTTCACTGCAATATGACACTTCACTTATTGAATGAATTTACCCGAGAACGCACCTCTCTGCCACTTGGCCGCTTGGCCTGTCATGTGGTGCAACGCTTTTAAAAGCTCGTAACCCGATTCACACGTATTCTTTTAGTATTGTCAAGGAATTATCAGTATTTTCGGCGGGTATTGTGAGTACTGTAGAGATACTGTTAAGTATTTTGACGGATTTTTGGTATTGTTTCAGTATTGTCAGTACTGTAGAACTGTTTTGAAAGTATTGTGAGTCATTTTAGGCATTGTGACAATTGTTATGAAAAAACATGGTATTTTTACAGACCCATGATGGTATTGTTTAAGTATTGTAGGTACTGTGAATTAATTTGTACACCTACTGTCAGGAGGTGTCGACCCCTCGGTTTATGATGCGTCTACCTTTTCAAAGGTTTACTATAGAAACGTTCGATCTACCTTCATTACCTAAATATTTACCTGCATAGCTGCCATTTAAATTACTACTTATCAAAATGAATGAACATTTTTGAGATTATGATGCATTCGTAATAAAAGTAGCGTATGAAATGCGTGTATAAGAGCATTCAAAGCCCTTGCGACTTACAAAACACTCCGCTGCGCGTCGTGTTTTGAAATATGTCGCGCGTGCTTTAGATGCCCTCTTATACACTTATATCATAATATACTATTATGCGTATTGTGAAATCCGCATTACTATTCAAATCACAGGAGTCATCAAAACAAAACAATGCAATTGTTACTTGGAAACCTGGGTTTGCCAACAGGTTCAGATGTCCTGAGGCAGGAAAGCCTCTATCGAAGGAAATCAGCTCCAATCTAACAAGCAATCTTCAAAGTGATGCTTAGACACAATGAGGAAGTTGCATAAAAATTTATTTTCATGCAAAATGTATTTAAAGTGAAGCAAAATACTCTAGAAGTATATTTCCATATTCAAATCCTCTTTATACTGAACCACTAATAAATAATTAATTATTCAAATATTGAATATAACAAAAGGCGCGAAAACGCTCTCAAATTGGTTATGATGTCATGGAACGGTAAACAAACAAAAGTGTGGTTATGTTGATACGTGAGCCGTCAAACGCTTGTGCTAACATCGAATTCTACCAATGGATTCAGCATTCTATGTCGGTCATTGCCATTGTCTATTAACTAAACAAAGATACCCCTCGTTTTTATTCTAATCGGCGACTTCACCGACGAGTCAGCTATTGCTATAATTATTATTTAGCCATATATATTTGTCACTATCAATACTACACTATATCTTTCTCTCTCTTAATGTATAGGGTGTGAGTTCACTGGAAGAGAATTGATTTCCAAAATCAACGTAACACTATCTTTGTTTAGTGAATGGAAAATGACAATGGTTGACATAGTCGCCTAAACCAATGACAAAACACAATGGGTACAGAGTTTTGACGGATACCGTCTTGTGACGTCATTCATCGCAACCCCATCCGTAGACCACACGATTCCGTGTGGCCAAGCGCGGGAAAAATACAATATAAATTTCTTGATTTTGGGCAGTTTTGGAAAACGTGGAGCACTCTGGGTGGAGAACAAAAAGGCGAAAACCCTCAAATCCAGCTGGTTTAACAGCCGCAGCAAATTGGCAATAGAATGGCAATAGAACAAAACGCACCACCAATTCGCTGTTGAACCACCACGGTCAAAAGGCTTGCACAAAATATTTGCAAATTTCGTAACTATGATGGCGTGGTTCTCTGGCTTTCTGTCTCCGAATTTTCGAGAGTAATGACCACTTCCTGATTTGGTCGGTTCCCCTCCAGTGGAGAGGGAATAGGGGAAATTTTCAAATATGCACCCAGCGGGAAAACCTAACTTTTCCGCGATGTCACCCACAGAGGCCACAGAATACTCAACTCTATACTGAAAACCTCAAAACAAATCATCCAACAGGAATCTCATAGCCGCATAAAAGTGTTTATTTATAAATCCAAAAATATTTAAAGAAATACGAAAATTCGACAGTACGGAATAGGAACCCATTCCACGGTGGTACTCCCAAAATAGTCGATGGCCGGATCATGCGTAGCGGAACCTACCAAACCCATCGGGCCGAAATATCCTTATCTATAAGGTTTATAATACAAAAAATGGTACTCGATTGTTGCAATTTAATAAATCACCAACCAAATTCGCACAGTACAGAACCGGCTCAGCCGGTTGAGGCTATGGATTATTGTCGAAATTCTTAAAACTAACAAAAAATTAACAAGGACAATTTTAAAACGTTACAATTGTCGGTCGAATATCTGTACCTGGACGCCCTGTATAAATTGCTGCAATCTGAATTTCTCTGTAATTTTGAAAATCTCCAAAAACATAAATTATTTTTTCTAGAACTGTCAAAAAATGATGATGTTTGCACACTGATGACAATTTGCGATGTGACACTTTTTTTCCCAGGTAGATTTTTTTTAACGTTCCCATGACGCCGTGCGCGAAATGATTCTCCAGTGTGCGAAATGCCTAGTTCGCACACTCAGGTAACAAATACCTGACACCTGACAGGAAACCAAAAACAACTAAAATTCACCTGCCTTTGATTGTAAATTCAATTTAAGCTTCGAATAATCGACATTTAAATGGAGTTGTAGAAAAAATATTGTTTGCAATTCGTGCCCGAAATACTTTGGGGATCTCAACTATTTTTTTTAACTCGGCTGCGCCTCGTTGAAAAAATCAGTTCTCGATTACCAAAGTAGCTTTTTGCGCACTAGATACAAAAATAACTATTATTTTGTCTAATTGTATCAGGTCTTCAAAAAAAAAAAAACAATCAAAGAGTGCTATGGTTTTTTAAACGTATGTGTTAGCAATATTTTTCCTTAATTTTGTCAATGAACTTTAATGTCAAAATGTCATGTCAAAAATCCTGACCAATAAAGAAACAATAATGCGACGTACGTTTTCGCAATCAAAGCAATCTTTGATTGTTTTTTTTTTTTGAAGACCCGATACCAATGTTGCAAAAAGAAGCCAAATTGTATCAATAAATCTAAGGACCCGTTTGGCTGTTCATTCCATAAGTGAAAATAAATTTTATTCGAAGCGGATTTATTTTTCCTAAATTACTTCGAAGCCCGGATAGGGATACAATAAAGTCAATACGTAGTGATATTCCGATAGTCAGTCTAGAACAATTTGTCTGCTCTTTCCACGGGGATTCGCCGCCCGAAAATGAGCCCAAGCCCATTCTAAGCACGCGCTTAATACAATGTAGAAACAGAAATGGATTGAATTGGACAATAAAGTGGCATCTGCTTTCGATTTTTATATCATTTCCGTTATTCTTTAGTGATAAAGCCACTGGCAAGAAGCTTCAGGATATTTATCTAATGTCCGTGACTAATCAATGTTCATCAAGATAAATATCTATTTTGCGCTAAAGACATGAATAATAAACTTCCTTAATGTAGATTGATTATTAACTGTTTTAATAAGTAAATGAACATTTTCGCACACAAATAGTATGTGTCTTATCAAATTATCTTATTTTTTCCAGAACACCCGAGCAATGCCCAAGCGTTGTATCTCTTCTTGCAGAGTCGTACAATCCTCATGTCCGATATGGTGCGGCCATGGCATTGGGCATCGCCTGTGCTGGTACGGGGTTGCGCGAAGCCATCGCTTTATTGGAGCCTATGGTGATGATTGACCCTGTTAACTTTGTTCGGCAAGGGGCTCTCATTGCTTCTGCCATGATTCTGATCCAGCAGACCGAACAGACTTGCCCTAAAGTTACTTACTTCAGGCAAACCTATGCTCAAGTTATCGCTAATAAGCACGAAGATGTAATGGCTAAATTCGGAGCTATTTTAGCACAGGGAATCATTGATGCTGGTGGTAGAAATGTCACTCTATCTCTCCAGTCGCGCACTGGGCACACCAATATGTTGGCCGTTGTCGGTACCCTAGTATTTACTCAATACTGGTACTGGTTCCCCTTGGCTCACTGCTTGGCTCTGGCCTTTACCCCTACCGCCTTGATAACTCTAAATGCGCAACTAAAGGTAAGAAATGGGTCGATTTATCAGCCGTGTTATTTTTATTGTGTATTATTTCTTAATATTTTTTTTAAATCACAGATGCCAAAATTAGAATTAAAATCCAACGCAAAACCCAGCCTTTATGCTTATCCTGCTCCAATGGAAGAAAAGAAAAGGGAGGAACGAGAAAAAGTACAAACAGCTGTCCTTAGTATAGCAGCAAGACAGCGTAGACGCGAACACGACCGAAAACACCGGGATGAGAAGATGGAAGTCGATGAAGAGAAAGATGACAAGAAAGAAGACAAGAAGAGCGATGACAAGAAAGCCGTCCTCTCGACGTCGACTGATGATAAAAAAGAAAAAGATAAGAAAGATGAAAAAGATGAAAAGAAGAAAGATGAAAAAGATGAAAAAAAGAAAGACGAGAAAGATGAAAAAAAGAAAGAACCGGAGCCCAACTTTGAAATTTTGCAAAACCCTGCTAGAATATTGAGGCAGCAACTGAAAGTTGTTTCCTTAAATGATAACAGCCAATATGTTCCATTAAAAGACGTGTCGATTGGCGGTATTGTTATGGTTCGAAACCTGAGACCTGACGAAGAAGAACTTGTTGAGCCCGTTCAAGGTAAGCGTAGGTTAATAATCGTTTTTTTTTTATCTTAGAAGAAATCCACCTCCAAAGTTTCACGTGGAATTTCCTCTCAACTTCCTTTATTATTTTATTCATATTTCTCTGGCTCCACTGAACTTCCTCTGTTTTCCCAAATTTCCTTAATAATTCCCCAAACTTCTTCCGATTTCTCCAAACTTTCCCTGCTTTTCTTTTTAAGGTGAATCAAGTGATCAATCTTTTGAGGTGAACATGCAAGCTGATTTTTTTTATATATTCATATTATTCATATTTCTGTTATCATCCTAGCTAATAATATGGCGAAGGTCCTTTTATGGGTACACTTCCCCTTACTAACCCAATACGTGAATGAAGTTGATATTTCAAATCTGTGACAACTCTGATATATCGTCAGATGGCTTACCATATTATGGTTCAACTGCCACACTGTCACGCGAACCATAGAGAAATATAATAGTAGTAAACTACGAGAGACGTTTGTTTAATGTAACAATCTGGAAGTGTGTTTGTGCACATACCCGTAGCGTATTTCGCATGGTGTGGCAGATTATTGAACTAATTACTTCGATCGTTTCTGACAACTCCGTTTAATTTGTCTTTGTCAGCAACTTGCCCGAAAATGTTCTACCTTTTTTAACACATACAAAATACAAAATTGTCAAAATTTGACAAATTATTGAATCGTCTATGATTGAATCCGAAGACCATCAATCAAAAACTGGATGTTCATCATCATAACTTAAAATTTCTTCTATTATTTATATTAGAGAAATGAGAAAACATTCTGTGATCATAAATATTAATTAATTAGACAAAACCGACACCAATAATAGTGTGTTTTCGAATTTGCGATGATGCGAGATGCAGTAAAAAGGTAAACACAAAGCTTATAATACAAACATTTTTAGTTACTGTATATTTATAAAATTGGAATAAAAAAAATAAGTTTGTTTAAAGATATCTCAATTTTTGTATTGTTCAATTACCTCCTTGACCCCCTTAAGGAATCTCATTGCATCTAATTTGAATTTTTTAAAAATAAGTTCTGTTATCGTTCTAAACAGTTGCTCGGTAAATTTTAGCAAGTTTTTTCAACAAATGTTTTGCTTTGCAATTAACTGTTTACAGTACTTTATTTTTAATAAATCTTGAATAAAATCAAAGTTAATAATTTAATTATTCAAAAAAGCCGCCTTTTCACTGTCGGTAAAGAAGAAACCTGCATTTAAACAATGTTCACTCTTTTATTGCTGTCCGTAGCCACCAGAGGCGCTAACGTCGACTTTGTGCCAGTTAAGTACAGGCACAGCCTCCTACACTTAACAAGCCATGAAGTTAAAAAGGCAACACCGCAATCTTACCGCCAAGTGGTGCTGGTGCTGTTTGTTTTTATAAGTATATATTTTTTATTTTGTTAATAATAATGACAAAAAATGCATCATTTATTGTACTAAAGGGTCAAAAACAGTAATTCAATGAATAATATAACTATATGTGTAAATAAGAACAGTAAATAATTGATTTAAATGAATATATTTCTAGATTCTAAAGTGTTATAAGCCTATGTTTCAGTATGTCTTTTGAAAATCTAACTTTTTCTTTCTTCGGGATTTTTTCAGAAGGCAGGTTTATTCAAATACTTGAGCTGATTTCCGAAAATAAGAGGTACTTTTAAGAGTTGGACGTTTTAGTTTGAACTCTCGAATTACTCCTTTATTTTTGTTTGTTTCAAATCTAATTATTTCGGTTTCTTCAAAATGTTCACAACACACCACAGAATTTTTCGTTATGGTATAATCTCGCCAATCTCGGGTACAATTATCTTGGTGTATTGCTTTCATCCACAACTTCTGCATTTCAGAATTTTTTTGGAAATAAATGTTTGCATTTCTTCAGGTTTTAAGGAACTCCTAGTTCAATTTGCACCCAGGAACACAGTAGTTTCATGGCATCTGGAAAAAAGTTTAAATATCTTAGGTAATATATTGAGGCCTATGCTCTTGCACAATATTAATATTGTTTTTATTGTTTTAACCTTACATTACCTTCATTTTTGCTGCTGTACCCATTTGCTGAAAATTTGCAATCAAAGCACAAAGGAACAGGTATCAACTAAATATGGGCAATATATCGGTGTGTTTCTATCCATTTTTTCGTCAATAATGCCCACAAAAATACTAAACTGCAACAATATACAATGAACGCAATACACAGAAACAATAACCTCGATAACAAAATAGCACCATACGCGACGTTGCCGTCATTTCCAACTTCATGGCTTGTAAGTGTAGGGGGCTGTGGTACAGGGGAATGACTTCTCTCTTAGTTTACTACTATTATATTTCTCTATGACGCGAACTTCATAAACGATCTAACTTTGTCAGCAACAAAACTCGTCCTTCTAAAAAAAAATTAATTATTTTGTTAACCTAACTATATGGGCGACAAGTAATAGACCGTGATTTAGGGTACAGTTGAGTGGAGTAATTTTTTTTTGTCCGGCATTTTGAGAACTGAATGTAGCTAATTAGAATATAAGTGGTTTTAATGTCTGCTCCCCGTTCGAAATTTCCACAGAATTTTCCGCCGAAAATTCGATTTTCAAACTGTGATCCCCGTCTGGCGAATTTTCAGCGTTATTTTCACAACAAAACATTTTATTCTCTTGAATTCCATTCCCACCTTTACAGCCATTGAAAGCATCTGGGTCGGTATTCTGGTTCTCAAAAACGCTCACCGCTTTCTAGTCGCTCGGCACTTTAAATGCAAATTTACACTGAAAGTGCCGAGCGACTGAAAAGCGGTGAGCGTTTTCGAGAACCAGAATACCGGCCCTGGCATTTTTCATTATGCCAGACAAAAAAAAATTACTCCACTCAACAGTAACCTATCTCACGGTTTATAAGCAAATTAGCAATTGGAAAGTTAAAATGCGTTACAAGTACATATTTTGTTCCAGCTTTTGGACCAAAAGGTGAAGATGAAAAGGAACCCGAGCCACCAGAGCCGTTTGAATGGTTGGAAGATTAGTACAGTATTTTTTAGTTTCATTTATTATTTTCAAATATATTATTATAATATGATGTACTACTATAACTATAGCATAATACGATTGTAATACTTAAAATAAATGCATAATGTAATTTGGTTGTTTTTGTTATAACTGGCTCTTGGTTGGAAAGTTTTACAGGATTGCAGCATATGCAAGCTGTAGTATTACTTATTTTCTCGACATTTCGCAGGTCAAAAGAGGGAGGTCGGGGCAAGTTGAAAATACACTCGGGTGTGCAGATGATCGCGTGTAAAATCTGCGGAGTTGGAACATTGAAAAAATTACTATCTGTTATCTCAGTAATTTAAACATTCATATTTTTGACGAAACCAAGGTTTTTTTTCAAGTCAATATAAATAACTAGGCGAATATGGAAGTTATCGATAGGTACAAGGATTTTTGGCTCTCCCAAACCAACGCGAATTATTAATTAAGAGATTAAGAGAGAGAGGAAAGTTGAAAGCGGTTGACAAGTATTTTAAGTCTGATATCTAACGAGTATCACTCGTCCTTACGGAAATCATTGTTATGTCATAATCAAAACATAATCGAGAAAAAATCATAATTTGGTGGGGTCCTCTAAAAACTTGACTGAACTTGCAAAGAAAGATGGAGATATGGAGAAAGATAGAGCAGTAGGAGAAGGTAAAGAAAGTAGTAGGTAGATAAATCCACAGGAAAAATTCCGAACAAAATTCAAGACGATAATGGCGGGTGTTTGATCTTGCATCATGAACACCGGCCTAATAGCTATTCATGTATAGTCCAACAAATACCTTTTTAAAGTCACGTGATTTTTCTCTATCCTTGTTGAATACATCTCAAACAGCGGTGATAGTAAAATTGACAAAAAAATTGCTGTCTAATTATTGTTCATAATATTGTTACCTGAAATAGAATCCGTCACTGCCATCAATTATAGTCCCCAGTACATCGACCTTAAAATTTTGTAACTCATGTACACGCCCAACTTCCTGAGCGGCTTCATAACACCAAGTCGGACAATAATTTTCATGTCTCCACCCTGGGCGATGGGACATTGCTGCGCTAGCTCTTCGTGAATTTGTCGTTCTGACGTCCCTAAAGAAGTTGATACATGTACGTGTAGTTTCAATGCCAATCGACTGTTTTTTATATTACATTAACGATATCACATTTGTCGGACAAAAACCATGTGGCTTTGGGGAAGGTCCGACGCCCTTAACATGTCGCTGTGGCGTCCCTGAGGAAGTTGATACATGTACGTGTAGTTTCAATGCTAATCGACTGTTTTTTACGTTACATTAACGATATCACATTTGTCGGACAAAAACCATGTTGCTTTGGGGAAGGTCCGACACCGCCAACATGTCGCTGTGGCGTCCCTAAGGAATTTGATACATGTAGGTGTAGTTTTAATGCCAATCGACTGTTTTTTGTATTACATTACCGATATCATATATGTCGGACAAAAAGCACGTGGCTTCGGGGGAGTCCGACGCTCTCAACATGTCGCTGTGGCGTCCCTAAGGAAGTTGATACATGTACGTGTGTTTTTAATACCAATCGACAGTTTTTTACATTACATTAACGATATCACATATGTCGGACAAGAAATTTGAGACAATCAATGAAAAAATTGAAAATAGTTTGCCTTAACGCAACGTGCATATTAGTCAGTTTATTATTTACTTACTTTGACAAATACCTGTGGGGCCCTGTGTCATATTCCCTGATCTGTTTTTTTGATAGTTCTCCGAGTATTTACGGAAATTATTCAGTAAACGGTCATTCAAAACCACGCGTGTGAGAAAGAATGGATATTCAGTCGTGTTTTTTGTGCGATCTCAGGAGTGAAAATTCTGAATTTCGGCAGAAATTGATCAAAAGGACTATTGTTGTCCGACTGACTTTAATACTAATTTTATTTGTCCGACATTTACTACACATGTTTAAAAATTACATTGTCATTCATAATTATTTTTGTCGGACATACATGTATCAACTTCCTTAGGGTCGCCACAGCGACATTTTGGGGGCGTCGGACCCCCTCAAAGCCACGTGATTTTTGTCCGACCTATGTGATATCAATAATGTAACATAGAAAACAGTTGATTGGCATCAAAACCACGCGTACATGTATCAACTTCCTCAGGGACGCCACAGCGACATGTTAAGGGCGTCGGACCTTCCCCAAAGCCACATGGTTTTTGTCCGACAAATGTGATATTGTTAATGTAATATAAAAAACAGTCGATTGGCATTGAAACTACACGTATATGTATCAACTTCCTTAGGGACGTCAGAACGACAACTTCACGAAGAGCTAGCGCGGCAATGTCCCATCGCCCAGGGTGGAGATATGAAAAATATTGTCCGACTTGGAGTTATGAAGCCGCTCAGGAAGTTTGGCGTGTACATGAGTTACAAAATTTTAGAGTCGATGTACTGGGGACTATTAGTTTGTCAAAGTTATTTTCGAAAGTAATACAACGAACAAACACAGCTAATAATTTTGACTATATTAACCTTTTTCCAACTCGAAAAGAAGCAAATAGAAAATGGGTACTCAGTTTAAGTTCAGAATGTATTACAACAGACAGCACACGCAACAAAAGTGAGTCTCGCAACAATTGCAAGTATTAAAATTGCCCTCTGATTGGTCAATACTACTTCAGAAACGCATTTGTAAAATGCTAGTGGGAACATATATTAAAATTCAATAGTAATTAACCACCAGTAGCTTTTTGTAGGTGATATCAACGACATAATCAATGGACATACGTTTTTTGCCACCAGTATCACGTGACTTTAAAATGGTATTTGTCGGACTATACCAAGGTGATTATGTAGATTATAATGCCCGAAGGCGAAACTAGCCTGAGAGCCTCTGGCCCGAGGGATATATTTCGCCTAAAAATCCCCGTGGTGCATACAATGCTTTATTTTCTACTCAACACAATGTTCTTTCATCAATTTAGTATCAAACAAAATCAGTTAAACTTGTGTGACAGAATATTGTTTTGTATTTTGACATGTACCTGTACCTAGAAACGAAATAAATTAATATTCCTATAAACATCTCATGAGGCAAGGCAACGGTGGTCGCTCGACTACATGGGAAACGTTGATGGTAGACCAGGTTCAAATCCTGGCCAGATCGAAAATTATTTTCGGTCGGACTGTTATAGCTTAGGTTATCGGGACATTGTTGGGAAAATGATACGCTCAAGTCAACGGTTTAAAGTAGAATCTATTCAATATAATTTAACAATAATAAGTTAAGTCTATTATTGAAACTGCAACATAGACATAATTACCCTAGTTACAATGAACCTTAAATCTAATGCAATATTTGCCAAGAAAGCTGTGCTGGGCATTTTGCAATAATATAAGTTATTGCTTCCAACTAACAAAATGATGACTCTTTAATATTAGGGTCAAGAACCTATAAAGTTGGATATTTTCCCATTACACCTCCCTTGGGCAAAAAAGAAAAAAAAACATAATATACTTAATTTTAAGAAAAGTGCACTATTCAATTAATTAACTAAATAACTAAAATTAACTACCTATAATTATATTTTATTTCGTTTAAACTACACTTAAACTAAGAATAATAAAGTTTTTCTGCGATTGACAAGAAATGTCAGCATTTTTGACCAGTTGACAGGTCGCAAAACTCAATATTCTGGTATTTCAATTATGTTTCAATAGTTGCTAAGGAATCAATGAATAACAATACGGGAAACACTTTTCCGGCCTAGGCCGGGAAAGTGATTCTCGTATTGCTGAATAATTGGAACTAAAAGACAAACATTTAACAGGTATTTAACCGATCGCAGAAAAAATAGTATGTGTATTTCGGTGGAAAAGCACATTCTCGGCCTTCGGTGTTTGCCGGCCTCGGCTACGCCTCGCCCGTCAACTTACACCGTCGGCCGAGAATGTGTCACTTTTCCACCTAAATACACAATATACTATTAACTCTATTTTTATGAATTTTTACATCCTTATTTTTAATTTTTACAATGATATTTGGATTTTCATCCTTTAAAATTTCAAATGGACCTTCATATAAAGTGTCTAACTTATTAGCCATACGTTTGTAATAAGAACCTTATCACCTATATTATATGTAATATTTCTACATTTTTTATCAAAATTTTGCTTACGTTTACATTTAGATTCTATTAAATTATTTCTTGCGTCTTGACATGAAGTTTTAATTCTATACTTAAGCTCTTTAGGATAATCACCAAAGTTATATAAAGGATCTATTTGATTAGAAAGATTTGAAGGTATTTGACTTAATTTCCCAAAAACAAGTTCGTAAGGACAACATTTTGTTTCAGTATGGACAGTATTGTTATACGCAAAGCACCAATATGGTACCCACGTACTCCAATTATCTGAATTTTTCAAAACGTGAATTCGCAAATAAGCCCCTAAGTGCTTGTGATTGTTTTCTAATGCACCTAGAGTTTCGAGTTTCGTGGTGATACGCAGTTGAATTTAGAGTTTTCACGCCCAATAATTTACAAGAATCCTGAAAAACATTAACTAAAAATTCTTTGCCTTGATCTGTAACTACTACTTGTGGAATGCCGTACCTTAAAATAAAATGTTCAACAAAAGCTTTAGATACATTTATTGCTTCCTTACTTGGTAAAGGATAACATTCAATAAATTTTGTCAATTCACACTGTATAGTTAAAATATAAGAATTATTGTCTAAGTCAGTTTGTATAGGACCTAGTAAATCAAGAAATATTTTTTCAAAAGCTGAAGTAGCTGTAGAAGTTATTGTTAAAGGTTGCTTATTGACTGCTATGTTTATTCCTTTGGCATTGGTCGCATTTTCTAACAAAATTCTCTACATCTTTTCCCAAACCTGACCAAAAATAATATTTCTTAATATTATTAAACATCCTGTTTGAACCTGCATGTCCTCCTGTAAGAAGATTATGAAAATCATTGAGTATCAGTTGCCTCATTTCTTTACTTTCTATGTTTTCCACATTGTTAATAACACATATTTTAATCCCATTTTCTACAATTGTATTTTTATACTGTGATAATTCCTTTATAAACTCCTTATTCAGGTGTTTT